TCCCAAACTGGCACAAACTGTGGAATTGAACTCATAACTCAACTTTTGGATTTCTCAACCAAAATTCCTCAGGCACACACCCACACACAAATAAACAAACAAACAAACAAACAAAACACAAAATAACAAAATGAAAATTCTTATATGTAATAAGCATAATGCAGAGTACCTTGATTACAAGGTCAGTAGAATCATCCAGTACTTGAATCACCAGCCTATCAGCAGGCCATGACAGATTACAGGCTGCACCAATTGAGATCTTATACACCTGCCACCAAATAAACCGAAAAAAATAATATCAAAAACCCAATTTAATTTAGCCCCCTTTTCATTTTTTCCTCTTTAAACACACATACACATGCGTGTTTCTGCGTGTAAAATCCAACCGTCAACAAACTAAAAAAAGAAAAGAAAAGAAAATGAGAGACCTCTTTTTCGTTGAACATTGGGATCTGAACAAGGACCATGGGGAAATTGGCGCTTCCCATCTCCAAATCGGAATCCCTCATCGGCTCCCATTTGTACCTCTTTTCCGGCTTCTTCCAGAAAAGCTTCACCAGAACAATAACGACGCCCATGTACAGCCTCTCCATGAACACCATTATCGACATGGCCAGGCAAATGTACACGCACAGGTTCAGCACCGGCACTATCACCGGCGCCTTTATCAGCTCCCACAGTACGCCGAATTGCCCCGCCACGTCCGTCGCGTACACTGGAAATGCCTCCGGCATGAAGCTCTTCGCAGATACCTCCTCAACCATTTTTTATTTTTTTTTCAATTTATTCAGACCGAGAAACAGGGGAATGTGTAATCTGAGAATGTGCTCTGTTTTTTTCTTCTCTCTTAATTTTGATTTTATCTGGGTTTCAAGCAATTAACGGATCTGTTGAGCTCCAACTGAGCTCCCTCTCTCTTGCTAGTGTTGTGGCATTTTGTGCAGAGATGAGAGAGAAAGGGAGGATAGAGGAGTTAGGGAGTGGAGCAAGTTATGGAGGAGTCAGTGAGCGAGGAAAATGGGGTGGTTTTATAGTCAATTGTGTGGACTCTGCCATTTGCATTTTATTCTGTAGTTAAGATTGTTATTTTACCTCGAATCCTATTTTGTTTTGGGATTGTTAATCTATACTCATATTAAAGGGATCCTATTTACCAAATATAACAATTAGAAAATTTAAACTTAATTAATAAATTTCTAATTTTATCAAATATTTAATTAATGCATCTAATATTTTGGGTATGCAAATCAAATTAGCATTTAATTAGTTCCTAAAATATTGGGGTGCAATATTAATTTAGGAATATCCATGTAGTTCCTAAAATGTTGGTATGCAACACGTAAAAGAAGATTTTTTTAATTTTTTTAAATATAAAATATTGCAACACGTAAAACTATTTTATTTGATTTTACATATAAAATCTAATCAATATCTAATGCATCCTATAAAATTGGATTTAGTTTAATTCTCCATATAATTAGTTGTAACTTTTTCAGTTGTACTTTTTTATATATTTATTTTACACTTTTAAATTAATGAAGCTCTCTGAAAATACCAAATCAAATGATTTATGAAAGTTTTT